CTCAAGTTCTTTAGATTCTGTATTTCCTCTACTATTCTTGCCCTCCCCCCTATTTTCTACCTACCATCTATGCTACTTATTCTCTGTACCTTCTCCCCCCCTTCCCCTTCCCCCACTCTCCTGTTGCTAACCCTCCATGTGATCTTCATTTCTATGGTTCTGCTCCTGATCTAGCTGTCCTCTTAGTTTGCTTTTGTTTTAGGTGTGGTTGTTAATAAATCTGGCAAAGGAAACAGACTTCCAGGAAATCATTTAAAATTTTTAATTGTCACTGTAATGAATGCAGATAAAGCTGAAATTTGAATAAGGTCTGTGTTCTGAATCACTGTCAGTATCCTGGTTATGATACTGTACTATAATTTTGTAAGATGTTATTGGGGGAACTGGATAAAGGTACATAAAATCTGTGTATTTCTTACAGCTGTATATGCATATACAATTTTCCCAAAATGATAACAGATTCAGTTAAAAAAAACTGATGGTATTGTAGGAAATCACCAAGGTATATACTAGAGAGAGAGGACAAAGTCTACAGACTGAGCTCTGGTAGACCTGATAGTAAAAGGTTAGGGAGACGAAGAATTAGCAAAGGAAACTGAAAAAGAGTGGTTAATGTTATGGGAGGAAAACCAAGGGATTGGTAGTGTCCTTGGAGCCTTAGTTTCCTATTTGTAAATGTGAATGCTGACTTGTTCTAGAGTTCTGAGATTCTGTTATTCATTATGGTTATACCTACATGTTCTTTTGAGAAGATAAATTCAGAATGGCACATATTCTATTCCCGGTAGCAGAAACAAGGATGCTGTTTGACCTTGAGAAAATTAAATTGTTCATATTGTTCCTCAGCACATTTAACTGTCTACAGATACTCTTACAATTTATTACATTTTTATAAAAGGATGTAACTGAGTGAGTGTTTTCAAACTGTTTTATAGAACAAATGTCAATATATAAGTTGTCAGTGGGGGGGACATTTCTATAGTTAAATAAGTTTAGGAAGTACAAGTTGAAATTAAGTAGATTCTTTAATACGGGATTTTGGGGGCCTTTGAATCTAAGAAAATATTTATTTGGCCATGGAAGGGTCATGCTCTGGATGATGATTTGGGGGTTATTTGTATAGAAGTAATGGTTGGAATTGTACCTAAGGATGAGATATACAAAACTAAGCAGCTCTGAATGGTAAATATTTTAAATTATTTATTTTTTAAAAATAAAATATATTGTATCCGCTTGAACTTTCTGTCTTGGTTAATGGCATTACCCTGACTCAAGGCAGGCATTTGGGGGCTCATATTTGCCCTTCTCATTTACATTTATCCAGTTGGTGCTTATATTCTGTTAATTGTACCTTGTTTATAATCTGCCTAAACTTTCTCTTCTCCATGACATTGCTGCTGCTTTAACTGTCTCTTAAATCGCACCCTGACTAGAACCTTTTCTAATACCATCCTTTTTCTGTTGCACAAATCTGATCATACTTTCCTGTGTTGATAGTCCTTCTTAGCATATACATTTTAGCATGGCAGTCAAGACTTTTCCTGAAGTGGCTCCTGTTGTCTCTTCAATTGTGTCTTCAAGTTATTCTTCCTTGTTCCCTACATACCAATCATGTGAGATCACTCAGGGTTTCATATCATTGCCATCCTATTTTGTACTCCTTTGCCTTTCCTCTGTCTTGAATCCCCTTCCCCTGTTTGATAACTCTTGGTGCAGGCCAGGTTCACTGTAGTGTCTTCATGGCCTCCTTGCATCTCACTTTCATAGTGGTTTGGTCCTTTCTTTATAAGCCCCTGAGTCATGTAGATGTCTTTTTTCTAGTACTTCTCACAGTTCTATAAACATTTTCTTCAGTATGTTTGTTTGACAGTGAACTTCTTGAAAGGAGTGACTGTGTCTTAACTTTGGAACTCTTAGCACACTACCTAAAATATGTGCAACCCAGTATATGATCAGTAATGGTACACTAGGTGTTTTACTATTCTTTATTAGTATGATTAGTACCTTAAATTTTATTCTGAATGTCTAAGTGGAGGGTCTTGAGAACTGGTGACTTTACTACTACTGGCTGTTGTACAGCCTCTTTCCAGCTTTTTTTTAATAGTATGTGTAGAAGTATTCTTAAGTTGAAAATTAAATTTTGAAAATCAGCATTGAAATTTCTAGCTTTTAAATGTTAATGGAAAGAAAGAATGTGGCCTGGCTGAAATGAATCTGAACATTTTTCTCCTTATAGCTCCTCTCCCCATCCCATGCTGTTATACCATGGTATGTTTATAGTGTGAACCATACCATGGCATTATCCCATGGTATGTTTATAGTGTGAATCTTGAAGCTTCAAAAGAATACACTAAAGTAATTGACCCAAAATATTCATTTTTACATGTAGCCTTGAATCTGTCATCCGACATGGAGAAAAATGCAAGTAGGGACACTTACTTCATTTTAAATTTCAGAGAGAAAGGATTGTTCTTAAAGAAGTACAGCATAAAAATATACTTCAGCAGGTTTTTTATATAGAAGAAAAATTACTTATTTGCAATCTTTATCTCTAATGATTTGTTTTTTGAAATTGATTACCAATCGTTCTGCTCTCTTTATGTTGAAATCTTCCATAGTGTTTGTTTTAAATGCTGTCCTATGTTTTTCTATTAAAAAAATCTATTGCAACATTCAAAGGTAAAAAGTGAAATTATATAATGGCAGGTCATTAGCTCAGAACTTTGAGCTTAGCAAATTTCACTGTCTTCTGCCAAGCAATTGATGAATATCTCAGATGATGACTATTTCAGCAGGTATCTTTAATGAATAAGAATTACAGGTAAAAATATTTTTTTCTTTCAAGAGTTAATGTATTCGTAGTATGTTATAATTTGTTAATCTTAAAGTATGCTTTTGTAGTTATAAAAACATAGTATACATTTTAGTGATAAATGTGATAATTCAATTTTATATAGTGTCTAAATTTTTTTAGATTTGTTTTTTAAATGTTTTCACTGGTTATTACAATTCTGTTCCTTAAAGACAATACCAGTATGATTAAAGTCCAAACAAAATTGACATCCCTATTTTGATAGGCCTCTTAATGCTAGTTATTTTAATTATTTTATTCTCATTTATCATTTTCTTAGCCAGTAAAATGAAGAGTAATAAAAACCTTTGTTACTAGCTTCCATTGCAGAGATATTATGAAGACTCAGTTTCCCCAATTGAAATGCAATAATAGTAACACAAGCTTAATAGTTTAATAGCTTTTAATTGCTGCATAAATTTATTAGAGTAGCCATATCTGAAAATGGTTGGCATGATAATATTTTATAAGAATACAATGTCTTTGGTGACATTTTCCAACAGTGGACTGAAAAGTAAAATGCTTTTATAAAATATTTAACTACTTTGTGACCAGTTTCAGTTTTTCAGACTGAGTATAAGGTGATTAAATGGTTAGAAATAAAAGCCAAATACAATTTACAAGCTTATTTTAAAACTTCATCAATCCAGTATTTCCTTTTTGTTTCATCACACTAATTTTCATGTTTTCTTACTACTTTACACGTTTTTTTTAAAACTATTATTTTCCCATGTAAAATCATTAAAACAGTGACATTGTGCTGTATATTTGACATTATTTCATCTTTGTGAATATTATTGTTCGCAATTAAATCCCTGAGAGAATTATAAATTTTTAACCCAACAATGATTGACTTTGTGCATTTTTCAATTTTTTTGTGCAAGTTTTATTTATTTTAATTTGTTTAATAAATTCTAATTATTTTAATATACTACCAATATAGTGCAAACAATTACATGCTCTATATATTTGCAATTTTAAGTAATAAAAAATATGAACAAGTAATTTTATATAGTTAAGTTATTAATATTTAATAAGATGTTAGTATTTCATAGTCATAATTTTTTAATTTACCCTCAGAGAATAAAGAAGAGGGGTATTTGCCAATTCCATATTTCAAATACTATGAGAATAACTTTTATCATGGTTGACATTGTATCCTACTAAATGTCTTCTTTTGTGTTTGTGAAATTTAAGTTATTATAGTTGTTACTGATGTTAAATGTATTAATACGTAAGTATAGCTATTAAACCTTCACAGAGTTATGAAACACTCAACTCTGTATTAATGGCATTTCAGATCAGGTAAGCATCCTAATTATGCAGATTAAAATTAACGTCGATATGTAATATTAGTGCCCTGGCCAGTGTGGAGCAATTGGTTGGAGCATCATCCTCTAAGCAAAAGACTGTGGGGTCAGTTCTGGTCGGGACATATACCTAGCTTGTGGGTTCAGTCCCCAAGCCAGGCACATGTGGGAGACAATCACTTGATGTTTCGCTCTTTCCCTCTCTCTCTGAAAAGAATGAGAAATGTCCTCAGGTGAGGATAAAAAAAATACATATATATATAATATTAGCAAATAATATTTAGTCATCAACATCTGAAAAATATTTTGGAAAAGCTAGCTGTTATATTGAAATGATTTTTTAAAAAGATTTTATAAATGGCATGCCTTTGTTAATGTAATAAATTATAATTAGTATGGTTTTAGGATTTAAGAAGTTTAAAAATTGTGTAGTTAATATTTGAACTATGTTTATGAAGATTTTTAAAAGAATATATCCTCCAAAATTCTAAATTTCTGATTTAGTCATCTCTAGGTTAATTGTAATAGATACCGAAGCGGTATTATCATACTGAATTTCACCATAGACAAAATATATTCTGTCATTTTTTTAAGTCCTGTAATAGTCAATACTGCTGCATCTTATATATATATTAACTATGTAGCCTACTTTTATTTTTTAAAGAGTAAATCTTTTTTTGAAACTTTTACCAATGTGTTAAAAGAGGTCATTTACTATTATAGTATAAAATGTACATTAGTTTAAATTTCTATTTTAATTATTTTAAGCATACAAGAAGAACTGTATAATATTTTTCCATTGTAATTATAAAATATTCAATACCTATTTTGTTTTCAAGATTAAAAAGTGAAGCTCCCACTAAGGAACAAAAACCGGCGTCTGAGGTAAATTTTGTTTTATTTTATACCGTAAAGGTTTATACAGTAGAAAATATTGTTGGTGTGTTTTTTAAAAAACATTTAATTCAATGTGTACATCAGTAATTATTGGCATGTTATCAAGAAATAAATTGAGGTTCAGGTTTTATTTTAATTGGCTATAAAAATATCTAATCCTAAGTAAAATTATAGGGTGGTTTTATTTTGACAAAGACATTATGTGTTTCATTGGCCTGTATTTAGTTCATGTAGTAGGTAGTGAAAATAAATTTAATTGATTTTAAAATTTTGAAATCAGTAAAACGTCAAACATTTGGTACATTGGAAAAGTAACCATCCCAGATGATATAATTTTCTGGGGGCATTTAGATTGTCAAAGATTCAAATAATTTTTTAAGTGGAAATATTTTGGATATATAGTTACTACACTTTAGCTTAAACAGGCATTGCGGTTGGTTGGGCATCCTCAGGCAAAACAAAATGTTTCCAGTTCAATTCCAGTTGGTATGTTTCACACATGCCTGGGGTGGCGAATTCATTCCCTGGTAGGGGGTGCAGCCAGTCTGTGTTTCTCACATTGATGTTTCTCTCCCTCTTTTTCTCCATCCCTTTCCCTTTCTCTAAAAATAGGTAAATAAAATCTTAAAAATAAAACAGGCACTGTAAATGTCACACTCAATGTTATTATAGAGTTGGCCAAAAAGTTGGTTTGGTTTTTTCCATAATATGGCTTTAGTAGCGCTTAGTTGTCTTTAACTCCATTCGAAACAATTTTGTTAGATTGTATTGTGACAGCTGTCATAGCAGTGTGCATTTTTTAAAAAGCTTATCAAAATTAGTGAATTTTTGCATAGCCATTATAATATTGAAGGTGGAAGAAAATACACATCATTTTCAGCATATTATGCTGTGTTACTTCGAGAAAGGTAAAAACACCACTGAGATGCAAAAAAAGACTTATGCAGTGTGTAGAGAAGGTGCTGTGACTGATTATTGAATGTGTCAAAAGTGGTTTGCAAAGTTCCATGCTGTATCTCTCACTGGATGATGCTCCATGGTCAGGTAGACAAGTTGAAGTTAATAGCGATCAAATCTAGACATTGAGAACAAATTGTGCTCAATGTGGGAGCACAATTGTGCCATGTGGCACATTTGTGCCATGTGGGAGAGAGCCAAATACTCAAAATATCCAAAATAATAAAGTTATTGGTGAAAATGAAAAATGTGTCTTTTATTTTACAGAAAAAACTAACTGGACTTTTTGGTCACCACAATATATAAATGTTATTTATTGGGCAGTCTAATGAGTGAGAAATTTCTAGTTTCTAAATTTAGAATTAATTTTGTTCAAGTACTTGCTTTCTTGATGTTAATTTTTTAAATGTAGCTTAATATTTGTTTTTTTCTAAGTATAATACAGTCAGGTGGGTTTAGCATTTATCTTTTGAATAGCATTTCTGTATTGCACAGTAAGTGAAACCTACTTACTAGGCAGCAGTAGCAGCTTTCTTCCAAGTGGCTTTTTATTATACCACAGAAAGTTTTCTTTTGTTTGAAAGCTTTTAAACTATAAATGAATTTCTTTGGTAGATATAGGATATATTGGTCCTCTGTTTATTCTTGAGTAGTTTCAGTAGTTTGTGGTTTTTAAGGAATTGGTACTTAATCTGAGATGTGTATAGAGTTGTTTGTGGCTCTCCATTATTCCCTTAAATGTCTGTGGGTTATGCAGTGATTAAACCTTTCATTCCTGATACTGGTAGTTTTTGTGGGTTTTTTTCTATTGTTATCATATACTTCACATAACTTACAAAGACAGAATACAGTTACTGCTTTTGCTTTAGTCAATTTTTTTTAAAAAATTTATTTATTCATTCAGTTATTAGAGAGGGAAAAATTTATTTATTCAGAGAGGGAAAGAAACATCAATGTGTGGTTGCCTCTTGTCCAACCCCCCTGGGGACCTGACCCTCAACCCAGGCATGTGCCCTGACTGGGAATCAAACCAGCACCCTTTGCTTTGCAGTCCGGTGGTCAATCCACTGAGCCACACCAGCCAGGGCAGTCAATTATTTCTAGAGCAATTAGAAACTTTTAAAAATAGTATTACCTTTACCTTCATTTCTACCATTTCCATTGTTCTTTATTTCTTTATCTAGCACTTCTTTTCTGTGTAGTATCATATTCTTTTAGCCTAAGGAGCTTCCCTTGCTATTTTTTGTATAAATTTACTGATAATTTTTCCATGCTTTTATTATTAAAAATATGATTTTTTTCCATTTTTGAAAGATATTTTTTGTGAGTGTAGAAGGATTGACAGTTTCTTTTCTTTCAGCAGTTTAAAAAAGTCATTGTCTCTTGGCTTGCATATTTTCTGACAAGATGTCTTAATTTAATTTTATCTTTGTTTCTATATATATATATAATATGTTGCATTTTTGGTTGTCCTCGAGATTTTATCTTTATTTTCTCTTTAGTCTTTCTTAGTTTGAACATGATATGATTAAGTTTGGTTTGTTCATTTGTTTATTTATGTTCATCTATTTTTGTATGTATTTATTTTTTGCATTTATCCTGATTGGTGCTCTGAGCTATTTCTGGGCTTTCAGTTTCACATGTGTTATGTCATTTGATGTTAGTCCTTGTTCTTAGATGCCTGTTCTGTGGTTTTCACTTCTCCAGCCCCCAACACACACACTTTTTTCTTTGTATTTCAGTTTGGGTAATTCCTATCTATTGTCATATTAATTTAATTTTCAGTTGTGTCAGGTCTGCTGATAGGCCCATCAGTGGCATTTTCATCTATGTCGTGGTTTGTTTTGTTTCATTTTCTAGCATTTGCATTGAATGTTGTCCTCCTTTTCCTACCAAAGCATTTAACATATTAATTTTAGTAATTTCAAATTTCTACCCAGTACTTTCAACAGGTGGGTTGTATCTCAATCTGGTTCTGCCAACTTTTTTGTTTCCTAGTAGTACATTCCACTCCCCAACCTCAGCCCTTGCTTTTCTGTGTGTCATAATATTTGTTTGAAAATTATATACGTAGGACTCAGATAAAAGTATTTATATCTCAAAATGGGCTTACCTTTTCTTATGTTAGGTCATTAGTGTGGGGCTTGGGTACATATAGTGGTGAGTTGATCTGGATTTTGATTTTCATGCTGCATTGGTTACCCTCAATGTACCACAAGGTTCAGTTCCTCTGGTATTTATTTGTGTTTGGGGTGGGAGTTATTTTGCTGGAGGTTTTTTTCTTAATGTTTTTGCTCCACACTCAGCTTCAGTCTTTTCCTTTGAGACTGAAGCTTCAGGGATGTCTGTCTCTCTACACTCTTGTTGCCTTTCCTCCAGCAGTGGTGCTCTTGCCTATTATTTGAATTTTGCTAGCCTGCTGGTGGGTAGTGGTAATGGGGTGATGTTCTCTTATTGCTCTGGTTTAGCCTTATCCTAAGATGGCTCAGTGTTTCTGGGTCTTGAAAATAGTTTTTTTTCTTCCATCTCCCAGCCACAATCAGTTTCTGTGCCCAGGGGTTGACATAGTTTGCCTCTCTTTTTTACAAATATGTAAAGTCATGAACATGAGGAAAATTTATGAATCTGGTATTTCATAACATCATTATTAGTTTTTTCCTGGGGCATTCACATTTGACTAGAAATAATCATCAAGCTTTTACTTTCCTTTTATTGCTATTTCATCTGTGTCAGGTGAAACCAACCATTTCATATATAAACCAAATTTGTTAAATTTATTTTTGTTAAAAGAAAACTAGCTTATGTTAAAAATGTCATAGGCCAGCCCTGGCTGGCATGGCTCAATGGATTGAGCACTGACTTGCAAACCAAAGGGTCACTGGTTTGATTCCCAGTCAGGACACATGTCTGGGTTGCAGGCCAGGTCCCCAGTTGGGGGCATGTGAGAGGCAACCACACATTGATGTTTCCCTACCTCTCGTTCTCCCTCCTTTCCCCTTGCTGTAAAAATAAGTAAATAAAATCTTGTTTTAAAATGTAGTAATCCATTAAGTAGGGTTAAAGGAAGCTGTATTCATTGGAAGGAGATATTGGGTATGTTGGTCCAGGTATTTCTTTTAAGTATATATGTGATGTTGATAGTCCCTTGTTTAAGTTCACATGTGATACGATGGATAGCTTGAATTAATCTTCAAGATTTTTATCAGAGTCACTGTAGTAGAGTCAATGTCGTCATGCCCTGGTAATATTTTATTGTTATCACTATTTAATATGAATAGTTTTTCATTTCCTATTTAAAAATTAATTCTTCTCATATGCTAGATAGTATTTGGAATTCATATTATTCTGTGACTTCTACAGTCATCCCTTTTCTACTACTCTGTATATTCTGTACACTGCAGTTCTGTACTGCTTTTATTTCTTAATATATCACGAGACTCTTCCACTCCAGTGTGATGGTTGGTTAGTTTCATTCTAACTAAGTAGGAGGTAAGAGAAAGGGTAGATACAGATGCCATTCTCTTTTCTTGCTTCCTTTCTTAGCTTTAAGGAATACTTGATAGGATATTCCAGGAATCGTAGTATTGGGAAACAAAGATCGATACAGTTATTTTCCTATTCTCATGGTGGTCAGAATCTAGTAGGACAGTTATATATGAGAGAATTATAATACAGTAAGAATAAGCACTATATGTTAAGTATTTCAGGTATAGGTGGTATATCTCAGGTATAGGATACCGTTACTATGTTTTTAACTCTTTTCCTTAATATTCATCCCTCAATACAAGCATACACAAAAAAATGCAGATTAGGGATTTCCTGTTGTTTCATTAATGAAATGGCAAATTAGCTCTAGTCTTTACTTCTATAAGAAATTCTCCATAAAGAATTTTTTAAGATTTTTGTTTTTGTTTTTTGTTTGTTTGCTTTTAATTTGTAACTTTTCCAGATGCTTAAGAGTTTCAGAAGTTGTAAAATTTTTATTTTTTAATCAAAAGTTAAAAAGCTATGCTAGAATGTTTATCGTAAAA